CAGACCAGACTTACAGGCCCCATGGGCCTGGGATCAGGCTCCCAGGGGGCCAGGGTCAGAGGGCAGGCCAGCAGGGCCTGGAAACCCAGGAGGCGCTGAGGGTGAACTGGCTGCAAGGCAGGAGACCTGGCCTGGTCTAGCTTGGCCACTATTCCTGTGTGACCTGGGGTGGGTGTCTGCCCACCTCAGGGCCTTGGGTTTCCTCATCTTGGTATAGCCTATGTATGGTGGACCAGAAGGACTTTGTACACTGGGACAGACTGGCCTTGTAGGAGGCAAAGCTGGTAAAATCTAGGAGTTGATTTTTTTTTTTTCCTGAATGCCCAGATCTTCTAAGGTTGGAAAAACGCCTGATTTTTTTCCAATCTTAGTCTTCTCACTTTACTAAGTTAATTAATACAGCCTATGCAACAAGTTTGTACTATTATTGCCCCCATTTTATAAATGAGGAAACTGAGGCACAGGGAGGTTCAAGAACATGCCAAGGGTCATATGGTGGCTAATAAACAAGTGGATTTGAACCAGGTGTTCTGGCTGTAGAGCCCCACTGGGCTCTCAGCCACTGCCCCACATGTCTTCACCAGGTATGCATCTAGTCCTGTAAGGGCCCAACCAAACCTGGGCTTCCAGAACAAGACAAGAAAGCGCATCCCCAGCCTGGCTCTTTACCCCAACCCCAGTTCGCCCAGAGGAGCCCAGGGCCCAGCTGCACCGAGGGCATCAGAGTCCAGGGGTGGTCCAGGAAGCTGCATCTCCCACAGGCTCCTGGGCATTGCTGACACTCCCAGAACTGGAGAGGCTCAAGCACAGGCTCTTGGAGAGTCAAAATGGAAGGGCTTCTGAAGCTTACCTCCTCAGAGCCCTTCAGTCACCAGTGGGGACACTGAGGCCCAGAGCAGGTGAGGCAGTATCCCCAACAACACACAGCGAGTCAGAGATGAGCCAGAACCAGATTCCATGTGTCCCAGCCATTGCCTGGTGACACATCACAGAGTAGTGATGAGTATGAGAGTGACACTGATGGGGCTCCCTAGTCAGAGGCACCCACCTAAGTGACTTACACAGTGGCCTCACTTAATCTTGCAACAGGGTGCTCATTTCACAGACTGCAAAAAGAAGCCCAAGCTAGTCAATGTCATGCTGTGATTTGAACCCGGGGGATCTGCTTCCAGATACCATCACCTTAGCCACAGCAAGGAGTCTTAGGTTAGAGTTAACTTCACAGAGCAACTTCAGGTGGTGGGTCAGCCTATCAGTCAGTCAACAAACATGTATTGGCCTGCTGGTGGACCACACAAGGCTTTAAGGATGATCAGAGAATAAGACAGATGTGCTTGTCCTGTGGAGGCCACACCTATCAGAAAGGCAGAGTCTGAGCAGATAAAAATGTGATGGGTGCGCAGATACAACAAGGTTGCAGGTTTGATCCCCAGTCAGGGCACATACAAGAAACAACCAATGAATGCATAAATCAGTGGAACAACAAATTCTCTCTCTTCCCCCTTCCTCTCTCTCTAAAATCAACCAATTAAAAGTTTAAGACACGCACACAGAAAATGTGATGGGTGCTTCCAGTGTTCATGGGGAAGTGTGACTGGGAGAGAGGAAGCATAGAAATGATGCTTCTGAGGCAAGAGAAGTTTTTGCTGAGTGTGAAAGGTTCTGTGAAGTTGTCCAGCCGACCCCTGCATCAGACGACTAATGGGGCACCTGCGGGTCCCCGGGTCTCCCCTGAATGTAACCTGATATTCCCTGACATCTATCCTCTGAGCAGCTCTGTGAAGCAGTGAAAGCCAGGCGAGCTTTGGAGAATAATAGCAACTGAGCCTGACTGCGCACCTCCTCTGTGCCAGGCACTGTTTGAGTCCTGTCACCCAGCTACCAACCCAGTGAGGCATGGCCCCCCAAGGTCACACAGCCACTGAATGACAGGCCTGGATTAGGACCAGTACGCATGTTCCAGAGTCCACCAGCGTCACCGCCTGCCCCCGTGCTAAATGCTGAGGTTCCGAGGCAGGACACAACTCTCCCCAGATCACAGAGCCAGGCCAGAGCCCCTGCCCACCACACCTTCCGGCTGCCATCATGCTGCAGCATCCCCAGCTCCTCACACGGTGCCAGCACATAGTGGGTGCTTCTCAGATACCTGCCAAAGGACCAAGAGGCACTGTGCTGTCATCAGGCTACATACCACCCTGCAAAGTCGATTTTACCCATTTCACAGATGGGGCTCAGAAAGGAGCAGTGGCCGGCTTGAGGTCACACCGCGAGGAGTGCAGTTAGACCTTGAACACAGCTCTGTGGTTCGTCATTCTGCAGAAAACCCACACCGCCGGAAGCTCAGAAGACACTGGCAACAGGCCTTTAACCATAGAGGAGAGAGGGATGGGCCCAGAGCTCAGGGAGGAAAAAAGGCGCTGACCAGCTGGGAACTCCGTGGGAACGTCTCTCACCCCCCAACCCCATCCCACCCCAATCTGTCCCCCAGGCAGCAGCCAGGGCAGGGCGAGGAGGGGGTCAGGGAGGCAGGCCATGGATTCCCAAGGAGGACATCCCCTTCTGCCCCTGTGGGATGGTTAAGGAGCCACCCAGGAGCTGGGCCTGTCTTGCTCTCACTAACCTCACTCTTCTGGATGCAGCCTCCT